TGCTTCAGCTAGATTGGGTGGTACCAGATTAAAACTCTTTAAGGAAAGAAAAAAAAAACTTAAACACATGTTGGATTCTGTTTTCACCAGGCTGAGAAAAACTTCAGCACACTTTACAGATGAAAGGATGGAGGTTCAGAGGTCAGATGGCTAAGTTCAACTAGTTACCAGAGTCAGAACTCGGAGCTCTGACTCCTTGCCCAGAGCTCTTTCTGCCACTTCTCCCTGAGTGACAATGGAGGTTGCATTTTTATTTGCTCCATTCTGTTTGACGGAGGGTTGGGTAGCAATCCATCTGTTTTCTCATTCCTCTCTTGATCCCAAGTCTGGCCTCTGGCCTCAGGAAGCAGTCAGGCAGATCTCATTGCCACCAGCAAGGGTACCTTCCTCAGGATCTCAGTGTATAGTTGGACTGATGCCAGTATGTGTGACACCACGCCTGCCGGCCTGGCATGAGCGCTCCCTCCTGGCAGGGTTCACCCAGCCTAATTGCTTGTTTTGTATCCCAGCTGCCTGACATATGCTAATTCCATGTGTTGACTCTCTGCAGGGACAATCACACTAAGGCATTTCAAATTGGCTTTTGTGAGCTCTAGCAAGTAACTAGGGACTGGGATTCATATATCCCTGTAAGGTGAGCACACAACGCAGTACCTGGACTCATAATAGGTCCCCCTGTGTGGGGGTCTGTCTGTCTGTCTTCAGGTGTAATATATAGTAGTTATAGTAAGGATTTGGAAATGAGAAGTCATTTTACCTGATTGAGTTCATCTCTGGGTGACCTTGAGCAAATCTTTTCTCTCTGACTTTCAATTTCTTGGGCATTACTCACTTAAGAAACAGGGAGCAGCACCCAGATGTTTCTGCTACCTACTGCAAAGAGTACCAGCTGTGAGACAGCTTTGCAAATATGAATGATGTACTCATTGAACAATCATGGAGAGATGTTGTAAGGTAGAGAGGAGCTCAGAGGAAAGGTGATTAATTGTCCCAGAAAGAAATGGTGACAGCCTTACTGAAGTGATGATGGTAGGAGAGACTCTATGGATGATTAGAAAATAATGCTTCCAACCTCCATTGTGCTAAGACAGTGCCCAATGGGAAAATAAACACATCATAAATATAGGACTGCTGATATGAGCTAGCTGAGAAGCCCAAGCAGTGACAATGGTTTGCTCCCTGGACAGTGAGTGGTTTCTCACCAAAAGTGAGCTTCCGTTTAGGGAGTTTCTCAATCATAGCAGCTGCTACTGTATCTTAGCCCCAACCACAACCCTGAACAAGCATAGGTCAGTGTTGCAACAAAGTACAGAAGCTAGCTCATGTGAGCTTGTAAGAACTGATTATTAATTTGGTTGCTAAACACGGCCATCATTAAAAATTAAATTATATGAAAATTGAATTATATTAAAAGGCTATAAATACTCAAAAACTTATCAGATCCTAAGTACTTTATTATATTTCATAATTATCTTTGCTTTTGAGCGTATTTGAGAATAATGTGTCCCTATATGGACATGATACATAATAGAGTCCTACTGTACATTTCTTCCCAGCTCTGCATCATTTTGATAACTTGAAGTCAGCCATGATGAGAGTATTTACACCACAAGAATGGGTTACTGATTACAGCTTCCGCTCTTGCTCTTCCTCTCCCTTCCTCTCCTTCTTCTTTTCTAATCTGTCCTTAAACACTCATCAGCACCCCCCTTGGTGTTACCCATTGAATAAATGTATAAAGGAAGTAAGCATTGGTTTAGTTAGGTTTAGCACTCATATCTTTTCAAATCTCTCTGGACAAAGGCATATGGCATAAAACATTCCAGAGACCCCCACAGATTGACTTCCCCATCTCCTTTGTTCCAGGGAAGGCTTAATGTTAAACTGGGTTTTCTTGACAACTGAAAACTATGGTTTAACAGAATGAGGATGAAAGTGTTTTCTTCCAGGACTTGTTTCCTGAGCCAAATGCCTGTTTTGCCATGAGGCCTCTGTGGCCTATAGGGCTTTGGGGAGTCAACTTAATCTTCTCCAGAATCCAAAGGCAATCCACAGGAGCCTAGGCTAAAATTACATCTGCTCTGGTTTGCCGAATTGAAGGCTACATGATAGCCAAATGGTGCTGATTTAATGTTTCCCAATGACCAAGAAATCCCCAAAGAGAGATAAATCAGAGAAGGCTAGTCTGCATGTGCATGGGGTGGGGACATCCGGGGCAGCCCCATGAAGGAAACCACCCTCAGAGGGCTGGTTACTGTCCAGGCAGAATCCAAAGGTACTGTGCAAGCCAGGAGACTGGATAGCAGCCAGGCTCAGGCGATGAGATCTGTTAGTAATTCTCTGGAAGGACAAAGTTCCAGCAATACAAAATTCAATTGTCCCCCATTAAAGAAAGCCTCTCTCAGTACCAGCTGAATACAATTGAAGGAATAAATCTTTCCCATTAGTGGAAAGATAATTTCACATAACTATATTGAGAGACCTTCAGAGCAGGACTGAAAGTCTTTGCTGAGCCTTGCCTGCTTAACTTGTTTGCCATGTAATTGCATTTAGACCAAGGGCCTCGGAAGGAAACCACTGACTGAATTAGCATTAACCAGATTGTGCAGAGTGAGGTGAGGTGGGGTGGGGTGGGGTGAGGGTAGGACTTGTAGTGCATTGTGGGTAGCTATACTTGCCTTCAGAAAGGACAAGCTGACACTAGTGAGACCAGCTGCTTACAAGCCTGGTGTTAATTGCTTTTCTCATCAAACAGAGAAAAGTTTATCACTGGAGGAAGGTAGGGATCTGGGTGTCTCATAAAGCTGGGATGGAGTTTGAGATTTTTTTTATGAATGCCCATAGACCTTATCAGTAGCTCTTCCCTAGGCCAGAAAAAAATCTCCTTGACCTGGATGAGTGGGAAGAATAAGATGGGCAATGGCATCTGCATTTTTGCTAAAGATTTGTCATCAACGGCTGTGCCACCAGCACCTTGATCCCTTGCAATGTTCACTCCACCTAGTACCTTCTTTCCCATCCATTGTCCATGGAAAACAGACCAATAGATCTAGCATCTATCCCAGAAATGTAAGGTTCAGGGACTGGAGATGGCTCAGTGGTTAAGAGCACTGGTCGCTCTTGTAGAGGACCCAGGTTCAAATCCCAGCACCCATGTGGTGACTAACAACCATCCATAATTCTAGTTCCAGGGAATCCAACACCCTCTTCTAACCTCCGCAGGCACTGCATGATACTGGTGCACTTACACTCATGCAGGCAATATACTCATACACATAAAATAAAAATAATAAATAAAATATTTTTTTAAAAGAAATGTAAGGTCCAGAGTCTAGCCTCCTGCTAGTACCTTCCTATATGGCTCAAGGCAAATAATAAAACCTTTCATTCTCCTCTTTATAAAATGATGGGTTTGGCCAACTTTCTGGATGGTTCCTCCAGAGGCTCTACCAAGGTACCTGCCGAACCACCCGAGGGCAGGAGGACTCTCTAGGGCAGCTCTTCTTCTGACTAATTTTTCACTTAGAGGTCCTTATAAAATATCATCTACAGGGCTGGAGAGATGGCTCAGCTGTTAAGAGCACTGGCTGCTCTTGGAGAAGACCAGGGTTGGATTCCCAGCACCCACATGGCAGCAGCCAACCGTCCGTAACTTCAGTTCCAGGGAAATCCAACACCTTCTTCTGACTTCTGCAAGGCATTGCACAACATGGGCACACTTACTTACATGCAGGAAATACACTCATATACATAAAATAAAAATAATTTTTAAAAAATCATCTGTCTCTAAAATGTATGGAAGCTACAACTCTAGATGATCTCTAATTGTCCTATTTATTTGCTCAATTGCCCATTGTTTTAGACTGTGATCAAGTGCTTGCTAGACATAGTCCAGGCACTGCACTGTAGAGAAAAAGAAAGAAAACCCTTGTCATACCTTCAAACAGCTTATGATCTAGTGGAGAGAGGAGAAGGTGTTCAGTTTGGTAAGGTTTCAAGATGTGTGTATCAGGCTTTGAGGGAGTGAGGCAACTAGTTCTGATCAGAACATCAAGAAAGGCTTTAGGGAAGAGATGTCCTTTGAAGTGGCGTTTAGGATGCAAACGTTGGGAGGTGCAAGCAGAAATGACATTTTAGGCAGATTGGAAGAACATCACACAGACACAGGCAGTAGCCAACATTCGCCTGGCAAGTGTGTGGAAAGCACGTGGTTTGTTGTCTAGAATACAGAGGAGGAGGAGGATTGGGATCTCAGGGTGGGGACAGGTTCCAGAAGACACCCCGAGGGGATGCTAGTATCTGTCTTCCTGTCTCTGAATACAGATGGAAGGAAATAGCCCCATCCTGCTAACTTTCTTGTGTTCTCACTTTGAGTGAGACTCTGACAATATAGTGATCAGCACTTACGGTGCTTACTCTATACCAAGGCTCAAAGAACTGTCACATACCTGCACATGTTTAGGAAGTAGCAGGGCTGGGATTTGAACCCAAGGCTCTTGACTCCATATTCATATGTGTAATTGTACTGTGTTGCCCTCTGGGATCAGCTTTTTCTCCTTACAGTATATGTTATCTTTAGAAAACGACCTTGGAATGAGATACTGGAAAACATTTCCCCAAAGTGATTCTCTCAAAGACTCTTAGATGTCTTGAAAGGTGACTTCTTCTTTTTTTTTTTTTTTTTTTTTTTTTTGGTCTGTTTTTGAGACAAGGTCTCCCAGTAGCCCCAGCTGTCCTGAAACTCACTATGTAGACCAGGCTGGCCTTGAACTCACAGAGATCCGCCTGCCTCTGCCTCCCAAGTGCTGGGATTAAAGGTGTGTGCCACCACACCCACTGAAAGGTGACTTTTTAAAGAAGTTATTGTTTATCTGCAGTGAACACTATGGGCCCCTGGGTGGAAGGTGTGTCTAAATAATCTGCCTTCTGGTTCTGACTTCTGGGGATTTCCTGCTGACCATAAAAAGTATATCATGTTGTCCTCTTTTCTCTTCCCACAGGCATGCATGTGTCATCCGTGGTCAAGTGATGACATCTGACGGGACCCCACTGGTTGGTGTGAACATCAGTTTCATAAATAACCCTCTCTTTGGGTACACAATCAGCAGGCAAGATGGCAGGTAGGAGACCTTTTATGGACCAGGAAGAGTTAAGGCCACACAGCTGCCTCTGGATCAATGGTGTGAACAGAGGAGGGCTTGGACCCAGACAGCTTAAATTCTAACACCTAGCTCTGCCACTTCCTGTCTCGTGACCTGTGCCTGACTGTGGACCCTGTGCCTGACTGTGAACTCTGTTTCTTTGACTATAGACAAAGCACTTTCTTATTTCATTCTTAGCATAAGCATGTGGCTTTATGTTATCCTGTCCTATGACTTTTCATAAAACTATTGACACAGGGACTATTTTCTACTACTTTCTAGAGACCCTATGATTCCAGGCGTCTAACCATTCTTTTGTTTCTTTGTTTGTTTTTAATGTGTATGTGTTTTGCCTGCATATATGTAAGTATACCACTTGTATGCAATGCTCAAGGAATCCAGAAAAAGGTGCTGGATCGCTCACCCTCTGGAGTGAGGATCTGGAGTTACAGACAGTTGTTAGCTGCCATGTGGGTACTGGGAACTGAACCTGCGTCCTCTGCAAGAACAGACAGTGCTCTTAACTAGTAAGCCATCTCTCCACTTCTGTGTCTAACCATTCTTGAACGGTTTCTATCATTTCACTGCTTAGGTTGGGAGAGGGGTGATAATAGAATTCTGACCTTTTAATTCCTCTAAGAACCATCCACAATGTGAAGTCAAGCTAGGGTTTCCTTATTGGTCCTGGCTCTGTCCATATGACCTGTGTATCCTGAGACAAATCTTACTACTTGAACCCTCAGTTCTTCATCTGTGACATGATCCTAACACTATCTACTTCATAAACTAGTTATAAGATTAGGATATAATAGGTAGGGAATACCCTAGCCCATAGTAGGTATTTAATAAATCATAGTTTCCTGCCACACTAGGATTCATTTCAAAGTCTGACACATAGTAAGCAAATAATAAATACTACTGTGTGTTAAAACTACAAATTATTGAATAATGAGGTGGTAGTGCCAGATTATTTTGGGCAAAAAAAAAAAAGTGGAATATTTAGCCTGTCAGTGGTGACAAGTCCTCTATTTTTAATAAAATCAGGTGGTGACAGTCCATCTGGCTGAGTGTGGGCCCATAAGGTTGATTTTTCACTCTGTGTTGGAAATTACACTCTAGCCTGATTGATTTTAGCACCTCTTTAATCCAATATCAGATATGAGCGCGTCCCGGCCGAGGTGATAATGAAGCAGGGGTTCATCTGTTTGTAGACATGTGTGCCTCTTAGATGGCTTGGCAAGCTTGATGTGGGAGCTCCCCTCCTCTGTGGCAGTGGGAGAGGTCTAGCCAAAAGAGGTTGGTGTCAATTCTGAAGGTAAACTGGCTGGGCCAGGGCACAGCTCTCTGCCCGGCACAATTTCTGCCTAAAGCCCGGCTCACTTCCTCTGCAGCAGGAAGGAACTTCCTCCACTATGTCTATCTGTACTGCCTTCTGGTTTGGGGTAGTACAGAAATGACAGTTATGGGCACACTGGGCTGCAAGCATTCTTACATTACCATCTTCAGAGAAACAGTCATCAAAAAGGGGTGTTGGGGGGGTTCTATTCTTTTTGCCATGAAACTTGCCAGTCATACATATGAGAGGACAAGGTGTCGGTCCATAGGCCCCACTGGTTTTGGTTAGGTCCACAAACTACACCAGAACCCATGGTAGGTGTGGTGGCCTTGGGAAGAGCTCGCTCTTTGGCACCTCCAGGCTTTGATTTCCCTGTTCAGTCCTATTCCTGCCACTTCTACTGCTCCTTGAGGGCATGAGGCCCCAAAGGGAGGTTGTATCAGCCATTGCTTTATGTCACCCATCGTGACATAACAGCAAGCATGGCAGTTGCTTAGAACTTGCATTTCACATCAGTGATGCACCATGGGGCTAAAATGTTCTTCCCAACTTAGACACTGCATAGCATCTGGGAAAGTTATCACTTGTCCCAATAGTGTCTGAAGCTCTGTTTGTTACTTGTGAACAGGGAGCATCTGGCCCATTCCCCTCCCCTTTCTTTGACTCACTTTCTCTTACTTCTGAGTCTTAGTTTGCTTCTCTATTGCTGTGATAAACCACTCTGACCAATAGCAACTTGGGGAGAAAAAGGTTGATTTCTGCATACTCCCCAGGTCACAACCCACCATCAAGTAAGTCAGGGAGAGAACTGAAGCAGAAACCATGGAGGAATGCTGCTTATGACCTTGCTTCCCTGGCTTTCTGACATAGCTCGGGCCCACATGCCCAGGGATGGTACCACCTGCAGTGGCCTGGACCCTTCTACATCAATTAGCCACCAAGAAAATGGCCCACAGACATGCTCACAGGCCAATCTGATGGAAGCAATTTTTCAATTGAGGTTCCTTCTTCCTGGATCACTCTAGTTTGTATCAAGTTGACAAAAACCAACCAGAACACCCTGATACCTAGCAGAAGCCATAAGACTAGAGATGGTCTGGAGTAAGAAATGTACACAAGTGCACTGAAGGCCTAGGGACTCTGTTTGATTCATCTGTATAATCCCTGCTTTCCAGGCAGACACCGTAACACCGTCACCAGCTCCCCAACACCCCCACTACACATACATACACTCTGAAATATCAGACTTCAAATCTTAACATCAGTTCATATACAGAAAACAGTAGCAGAGAAGTTAGCCAAAAAGATCATTTCAAAGATGGAAAGTACAAGCCATGAATAAAAATTAAAAGAATAGCAGACAAGAAAAACATTTCAGGCTCATTGAATTGAAGCATGAGATTGTGCAGAGCATGACGCCCAGGGAACATGTGGGGCCTTGTGCTTTCCCATCTATCAGGCATCTAGCTAATTAGTAGCCCTGCCAAATCATTATGATCCTCAACCTCATTTGCAAAATGAGGAAACTAAGACTCAGAAAGGTGATGTAACTCACCTGTGGTATGTAAACAGTGGTGCTTGAACCAGTCTAGAGTTGTTTGGGCTCCATCTGAGAACAAGGCCTTGCCTCTGGGATCAGGTTCAAAGTCATGTCCACAGCAATGTTCCCATGTCAGGTGAGCAGATCAGGCTTAAGCCCATTGCCCTCTGCTCCTATCCCCATGCTCAGTCTCTGGTGAACCAAGCTTGCAAGTCTGGCCAAATTTGTGTTTGATTGTTAAAAAAACATTCTGGCAAAGTATAGATGCTGTTTAGTTTTGTGACAGGAAAGTCATTCTCAGTGTTTCTCCAAGCCATGGATAGCCTCCTAGAGAAGCTGAACTCTTTGTCCATAATAAATACCTACCCTTGTGCCTCTCCATCATCATTTATTGAAGGTTGGTGGCATCTAACTTCTTCTGGTGTTTGGCACAGAAAGGCTGAGTGAGCAGCAGGCAATGTATGTGAAGAGTTCCTGGAGAGAGGAGAGTGTGTCTTTGAAGCTTGAGGACCCCAAAATGGGGATACCACCTACCAGGACCAGTTTAATGTAAAATCCTTGTAGCCTCCAGGGAACAGAAGAGCAAACTGGCGCTGTGGGCCCAATTGCACAAAGTGAGGCTGTTGGGGTAAATGTGATATCCTACATCCAGGTCTCTCAGACCAACTGCAGGCGTAAGCACAAGGTTGATTTTCATCAACAGCCAAGGATAAGAAGGAACTTGCAGTATTCAGCAGTTTACAAGTAAAGGTGGTGCCACTTGTGTATTTGTTCTGAAATTCGTTGAACCATCAATCACTAGACTTGTTCCTGGAAAACAGAGGAACTGATGTCTTGGGCCTAGAGAACTAAAGGAGCAATTACAGTATAGCACCATGTGGGCTCTCAAGACTGCCAATAGTGCAATGGAACCCTGGGAGGGAGATAGAATTCTGCCTGAGCAAGGCTTTGTAGAGAAGGTAACTATGTAAACCTTGAAAATGTACCCTAGTTGGATGTGGCAGCACATACCTGAAATTTAAACACTTGGGAGACTGAAGCAGAAGAACTATGAGTTGAAGGCCAGGTTTGGCTACATGGAAAGACTGTCTCTAAAAGCTAATATCTCCTAATATATCCAAAGAGTTACTGTAGTAGGAAGAGGATAGCAAATAGACAGGACCACTGGCTCCGGGTCACCCCAGCAGGTAAAAAGAGGCCCAGCAAATAAGAAACAGGAAGGAGGAAGACCTAGGTGCATTCCAAAAAATAAAGTCCTACAGTCAGAAGTAGCCAACAATGGGCCTGTCCTCCTGTGGATCAGCAAGCTCCTGGTCACTGGATATGGGCAATAGAAACTGAATAGCCCCTTAGTCTTGAGTCTGTAGAAGGGACTAGCACATCACGCTGGGAGAGAAGACTATGGCAAATGATCACTAAGCTCCTTTCCAGTGGCCCAAATTTTCTGTTTCAGGGGCGGAAAGAAACAGACTTCTAGGCAAGACTCTTGATCACCAAACACAGGACCTTAAGCAACAGCAATGCACTCTACTTGGCTAAACAGACCCACCTTGCAGAATTGGCAACATACCTTGATTTCCACCTGGACTTCCATTCCTTATGTCCATAACCTAAGCTTACCCAGCCTACAAAATGCAAGGCTACCCTCCCTACAGGGCTGGGAACTAGCAGAAACATTAAGCTGTACAAATAGGAACTCACTGTCTTCAGATTTTCAAACTGTAAGGTATAAACCAAGGCTTAGACAGACAAATACCTGGCAAGGTTTATCTGCAGGTGGTGAAAGTTGAGATGCCAGAACCCAAGAAGTGCCAATGCATTTCTGGCTAGGTCCTGTTTGGCAGTGAGATATTTGGGAGTGAAGTAAGGAGGCTTCTGCTTAGATGAACCCACACAAGCCTGAAATAAGAGACTCCCAGCACAGAGTCATCCTAGGTAGGGGAAGGGCCTAGAGCCCAAACAAAGATGAGGAGCAGATGTTCTCAGACCACCACCCTGAGGGAGCCATGAACAAAGGCTGAGCTACTGGCTCTCCATGCCCTGTCACAGTAACCTCATCTCAGCTGGGCACTCAGGCTTCCAGCTTCCCTTTCATTTAGATGATACCACGATTCTAATTGTGTCTCAAACTGCTTACCTATTATGTAATTGCAAAGGTCTTTGTTGAGTAGTCTGTCATAAGCAGAGCTGGCACTCCTGTAGAGTCATGGAATCTGAGGGACTTTGAATAATCCATCAGGGGCCAGAGAGATGGTTCTGTGGTTAAAAGCACTTGCTGCACTTGCAGAGGACCTGGGTTTGGATCCCCAGCCCTCCAAACCCCACAAAAAAAGGTGTGACAGTGCACATTACATACTATATTTCTAGCACTAGGAGGTAGAGACAGGTGGATCCCAGGGACTCACTGGCCAGCCAGTCTAGCTAAAACAGCGAGCTCTGGGTTCAGTGAGACATCCTATCTCAAGAAAATGAGATGAAGAAGCAGTCGAGAATGACAACACTCAATATCAACCTTTGGTCTCCACACATGCACCGCAAGTGTACACACACACACACACACACACACACACACTCACAAAGAATAATCCATGTAATTTTACTGATGAGAAAGTTGAAGCTCGGAAAATCTGACTGGTTTACTCAAGGCCACACCATAGCTCATGGCAGTGCCAGGACTACGCTTAGCATTTGAAACGGCCAAGATGAGCTTATCCTATATTACTGTGCTGACTCCATAGTGGCCTCCATCTCTAACACAGTAAAAGTTCCAGGAGTACCACAGCAGAGGCTCACTGGCTATCCTGTGCCCCCAGAAATGACTCTTGTTGCTATGGTTAACTTGACATCTGTAAATTCTCCCTGGGCAATCATTTTATAATAATTTTGGAGTTATCGTCACTGTGGCTGCAGTTGGGTCTCTAGGTGGTAAAGTCACCCTCACCAAGTACTCAACGCCTTCACGTGATTTTCTTGTCTTCTGGTATCTCATAATCTTCTTGTGTTTCTGACCCCCAACCCCAGCTTTGACCTGGTCACAAATGGCGGCATCTCCATCATCTTGAGGTTTGAGCGGGCGCCCTTCATCACACAGGAACACACCCTCTGGCTGCCCTGGGACCGCTTCTTTGTCATGGAAACCATCATCATGAGACATGAGGAGAATGAGATTCCCAGCTGTGACCTGAGCAACTTCGCCCGCCCCAACCCTGTGGTGTCTCCATCCCCACTGACATCTTTCGCCAGTTCCTGTGCCGAGAAAGGTCCCATTGTCCCAGAAATTCAGGTACCCAGATGTCCTGATAACATCAGGCCATGCTTTTATTTGGGAGCAGAGGACAATGGGAAAAGGGAAAACACCCCTATGGACCTGGGTTAGATCCTGTGGGCCCACCTTGAGAACCCAACTGCCTCACCCCTTTGTGGGCATCAGGCATGAGGACCATCTTACAAGTTTTATGCATAGCTAAAACTTGCCTGATATGCTAGGGCTTCCAATAAATTCCTGTCTCTTTTTACCCCACCGTCCTGTGCAATATACTTCTCTTTCCCTCAGCTTCTACAGTATTACCTCTTTTGGTATTTCTGCTAAAAGTATTTATAATAATAGTTTCTAACCACAAGGAATAAGCCACAGGATCCCAAGTAGCAAGCATTATAATAAAGATTAAATAAGAAAAATGTAACATGAGGTACTTAGCACAATGTCTGATACCTAGTAAGTGCTCAATAAATTTCAGCTGTTATTATTACTAAGATTATTTAACACATGCTGCCTTCACACCAATTAAGGATTGCTTTGGTTCAAATCTGCACGCACAAATGTTTTACTTAATTATCATTAAAGGGAAGTAATTGAGAAAAATGTATTTTCATCTGATGAGAACTAAGATTCCTGGCCTAACAAAACTATACTGAGTTGATTGTCCTCCATCATCCCCAGTCTGATGCCTGTAAGCAGAAAGGAAGGCCTGTAGAAGGGAGGAGACGGGAAGGGAGGAGACAGTGGTGCAGAACCCCAGAAGAGCCCGGGTCACCTGCCTGCCTAATGAGGCCTCCAGCAATGTGCATGTTAATGGGTTGCCCCAGCGCTGGTGGAGCAGAGTTTATACATATACAGAGTTGACGTGTGTGATTTTCACGCTTGGCTGAGCAAACACATCTCTCCCCATGAGCCCTGTTGAGCGGCTTCCAATGCAAGCCCACAAGAAAGAAACACAACGATTTCTGAATTCACATTACACTCTGGGTTGAAAGCTCACTCCTTCTCAGAGATTCAGTGCCTGTCTCTTGTCTCAATGGCCAGGTTGACCTTTCATATGAAATGCTTGTCAGTGGAGACAGAACTTTGGAGAGAAGTAATTTGTTACTCAACCCTGGCTCAGCTCCAGCTAGACATCTTTTCCCAGGAGCAGGGACTTTGGAACAAATGAGGTTCAAGGTTGAACCCTCTTTATGGTGCTCCCTGAGCTGGCTGCCTACAGGTCCATCCATGTCACAAACCTTGCTTATTTCTAGGCTCACAAAACATACAGAAAAAACTCTTTGTTTTCCCAGTCCTGTTGTTGGTTAATCTTTGAGAGTGCTAGGAAATAGAAATTGTGACGGGTGCATTAACGAAGGGAAATATTTATGAGAGCATCAGGCCGGCACTTGAGTCCTGCCTATGGCTCACCAGCGTGTTTGGCCTCCATTGTTTGGAACTAGTAAACTGTGGCCTGGGAAGACAGCCTTGAATTAAACCCAATCTATAGAATTTTCTATATTCAGGAGAGCAGCATGGGTGAAAAGTCTCCACCCTACTATGGGATAAATAGAATGAAAAGGGTTCAGTTCCTCTGTAAACACGGAGTAAAATAACCATCATCCCTGGAATGGATACATTAGCCTCCACTGATTTAATGTTCCTTTCCAGAGAAAAAGATCAAAGCAAGTTGATGACAGTCCCTGGCATTTGCTTTATGTGTGGTCATCTGGAATTCACTGACTCCATCTCCAGTCTGAGCCTGCTGCTTTGTCCACCACGATGCTCTTCTGGGTAGTGCTAGGGTGGGGACCCAGTGTCCCTGAAAAACTCCGTGTGGTCAGCCCTGGGATATCAGCACAGGTCCTTGCCAGACTGGGCTCTCAGCTCTGCCTAATGATGACTTTGTTCAGCCTTGCATGGTCTCCGTTGACTTTCATGGAAAGGACATATTTGAACCACATCTTACTTTAGGAAAGCTGTAGATAGAAACCATCCATCAGGTTCAGGCTGCTGTCCACATTAGTCCCTCTTTGCCCCTGCTCCCAGCAGCACTGTCCTGCCTAATGACACACCAGGCTGGGCACTTAACATATGTGGCCTTACTGATGCTGATCTAGTGAGACATGAAGAGTCCCAGATTCTCTGTGTTTTCTAAGATGACACAGCTAGTGAATCAGAGGACCACACTGCTGAGTATACCACATCTTAGGTGTTCCTCTCAAATGAAATATCTTTATCCACGATTACACTGAGAAGGAACCCGAGGCTCATGCAGGTGAGGTGGTTAATGCAGGGCTACACCACATAGGAATTTGTCCTGAAAACTAGGTCTTCTCTTCCTTCCTCCTCTTCCACCTTTCCCCCTTCTTCCTGATATTCTTCTATCCCTCCTCCTCACCTCCTTCTCTCCTGCTTCTTCCTCTGCCCCTGAACACACAAAGTCCACAGGGTCTTGGATGTCACCCTCCCCGAGCAGCCTCTGTGACATCCCTGCTGTGATCTGTCTGTGTTATAGGCCCTTCAAGAAGAAATCACCATCACTGGCTGCAAGATGAGGCTGAACTATCTGAGCAGCCGCACCCCTGGCTACAAGTCCGTTCTGAGGATCAGCCTCACCCATCCCACCATCCCCTTCAACCTCATGAAGGTCCACCTCATGGTGGCAGTGGAGGGCCGTCTCTTCAGGAAGTGGTTTGCTGCAGCCCCTGACCTGTCCTATTACTTCATCTGGGACAAGACAGATGTCTACAACCAGAAGGTGTTTGGGCTCTCGGAAGCCTTCGGTAAGCCTCCCCTAAGCATCCCCTAAGCATCTGAGACATAGGGACTGAGCATCCTCAGAGATAGACAGAGCAGCACCAGCAGAGGGAGATTTTTTTCTTTTTCTTTTTCTTTTTTCGTTTTTCTTTTTTTTGAGACAGGGTCTCCCTGTAGCCCCAGCTGAACCAGGCTGGCCTTGAACTCACAGCTATCCACCTGCCTCTACCTCCCAAGTGCTGGGATTAAAGGTGTCCGCCACCACACCTGGCCCTTTTTAGGCTTTTTTTTGAGGGAGTGTCTTTCCTACCCCAAGGTCACTTCTTCCCTTCCTCTTTTTAGGTCAAAACTACCAAGAGCTTAATGGGCCTTTGACACTTCACATTGGGCATCCATAACCTCAAAGAATGCAGTAAAAAAGTCAAATGTGGAAAATCTATATGAAAAGTGGTTACAAAATCAGAACAATCCTCAAAAAGCACTGTGGTGGTATGCGCTGGTCTAAAAGATGCCGTATACCACAAATGTGTGGACATTGCCTGACTACCCCACAGCCATCCTGCCAAAGTGTTCTTATTAAAATAGAGGTACTTCCCCATGTGGTAGACCCATGCCTTTAATCCCAGCACATAGGAGGCAGAAACAGGTGGATCTTGTGAGCTGTGGGCCAGCCTGGGCTACATAGTGAGTTCCAGGACAGCCAGGCCTAAATAGTGAGACCCTGTCTTAGAAAAAAAAAAAAGAGAGAGAGAAGCTGGGAAACTGGGCTGTTTCTATGTTTTTGAAGTGTAAGAACTAAAGTCAGAATTTCATTTGGGACCTCATGATATTTGATTATTTGAGAAAGGGCCTCAGTATGTAGCCCAGGCTAGCCTTGAACTCACACTCCTCCTGCTTCAGCCTCCTAGTACTGGGATTGTAGATGGGTACCACCAAGCTCACCTGGCCCCCTGATCTTGTTTCCCATAAACAGGATCTGGCTGTTTGACTGGAGCCTTGGGCTTCCCAGGCTGCCTGTCCTCCTCTTGGCTTCCAGATCAGAGCAGGGCTAACAGCAGTCCTAGCCCCCACAGAGTGTTTTAAGAGCAAAAGCCCAGCAAATCCCTGCATCTTGAACCAATTTCACTCCATTCTCCAATTCCTTTCCCTTCACTTAGCAAAGAGCAGAGAAGTAAAGTACTTGGAAAGGCAGGAAAGGGAAGAGGGGAAAATGAGACCATCACCTGAGCCCTTGCTTTGTGGACACATCAGTGTCCCAGCAAATCCTTACAAACACCTTTGTGAATCAAGATTCAGTATCCTCAGATTCTTTTGAGGATGCTGAGTCACACACCCCCAAATGCAGTGACTTTTCACAAATCTCAGAAATGCACAACGGGAGGGAAGAAAAAGATTTATCCCAGCTCTTCCTGGAATTGCATCCCCACCCTGTGCAACAGGGTGCATCGAGAGCAAAGATGCCACATCTCACTGTTTGCCTCTAATATAGATAAAGCCACATCTATTATCTAAAGAATGAAGCCACAGCTTTATCGCCTTCTCAGATGAAATGAGTGTATTTAGTGGCTACCAGGCAGTTTTAAAAGGTCCATGCCATGAGATTTCAGGACTGAGGATTATTTTCCTGAGATCACCTCGTGACTGCTAATGAGACTCAGGGATTTATTCTAGCCCATTCCCATTTTTGGTGGTCAGGCATCTTTTAAGGCATCTGCAAGTGACTTTCAGGGGCTGGACAGCTGTTAATTCCCGCCTTGAATATGACCAGATGTTGTCCACTAGAAAATAATGCCTTCTCAGAGAGCTGCTCAGAAGAAATGGCATGCCTGTCTCACCTGCTGCCTTCCTGAAGACCAGTTCCAGGGTTTCCGCAAAGCCAGGCTCAAGGAATCTATGTGTTCTCTTTTTATGTGTAATTTTTAAAATCACAGATTACAAAAGATACTCAGCTTTTTCAACTGAGCATTTTTCTATTTTTCTTTTTTAATGTTTTATTTATTTTTATGTGTATGAGTGTATTGCCTGTATGTATGTATGTTGTACAATGCCAAAGAGGTCAGAAGACAGTGTTAGATCCCCTGGAATGAGTTACAGGCAGTTGTTAGTGACCATGTGGGTGCTAGGATTCGAACCTAGATTTTTTGCAAGAACAGCCGGTGCTCTTAACCACTGAGCCATCTCTCCAGTCCCAACTGAGCATTTTTCTATAAGCACTTCCATGACACCAGCTGGTCATGACCATAATGTTCAGGGGCTGGGTAATATTCTTGGGTTGGATATGCCTGTGTTTGATCAGTTTCTCACCTGCTTAACACTTAGCTCAATCCTAATTATCCACTGCAATAAATGAGGCTACAGTGAAGAGCTCTGTGCATCAGGTGTTTTCCTTATTAAGATTACTTCCAAGCTAGGGAGATGGGTCAGTGTGCGAAGCACTTGCAGCACAGGCATGAGAACCAGAGTTTGGATCCCCAGACCCATGTAAAAGCCAGGTGGGTATAGCAGCCCGCCTGTAATCCCAGTGTACGGAAGGTGGAGCACCCCAGAGTAAGCTGGCCAGCCATTCTAGCCAAAACAGTGAGCTCTGGGTTCAGCAAGAGGCCCTCCCTCAATATACAAAGTAGAGAGCTATTGAGAAAGACATCCAGCATCAACTTTGAGTCTCCACACACAGGTGCATGCACACCCACACATATACGTGCACTCATACATCAGAACATACGCAGAAACACACACATACCACACACATATACATATACACACACAAAAATTAAAGGATTATTTCCCCAGGATCCACTCAACTGAATCCTTTGAAAGTGTGTGGCACATTTAGGTTTTCCTTATAATTAATGTACAGTTGTTCTAGAAAATAAAATGTCTTAAGCCCCAGTATCACTGTGCTTGTACTGTCGTAAGGTTCTAGTTCTCAAGTAGAAATGTGATTCTTCTTTTCTCTTCTATGACGGCCCATCAGAGACCTTGCCTGTGAGTCTTAGGGTCCAGGAGAAGGCTTTGCTCACCTGTGCCCTTTGCTCTTGTACCCCGCAGTTTCCGTGGGTTATGAATATGAATCCTGCCCAGATCTGATCCTGTGGGAGAAAAGGACAGCAGTACTACAGGGTTATGAAATCGATGCATCCAAGCTGGGGGGCTGGAGCCTGGATAAGCACCATGCCCTCAACATCCAGAGTGGTAAGTGGAATCATGGAATGCCTTGAGCCAGGTTAGGGTGATACTTTGTCTGCTATCCTACGGGTCCTCCAAAAGAAAAGAAAACGCAATGCCAGGTGTGGTGGTGCACACCTTTAATCAGCCCTTGGGAGGCAGAGGCAGGCAAATCTCTGTGAGATTGAGGCCAGCCTAGTCCACACTGACTTTTAGGCGAGCTAGGACTAGGGAGACCCTGTCAAAAAAGAAAGAAGGAAAGAAAGAAAATGCACACAGTGGTCTAAATGGGTTCTCGGGTGATCAGTTGTTCAGAAGGTTGCCAACAAACGCTATTTGGGTACCCACTCAGAGCCTGTCACTGTGCTAGGCAGAAATGAAAGACCTCTAGATTTTATATGCTCAGAGACAAATGCTCACTCACCTGGTGATTCAGTACCATGCACAAGCCACACCAAACTGGAGGAAGACACAGGGTACCACAGAGGCATAGGAGGGGTCCCTCATTCATTGTCATGGTTCACCAAAGCACCATGGACAGAGGACCCCGAGCAGGAACACAGAGTGTCCAGGATTAGCCAGGGGTATCAGGTAGGAGAGTATTCTAGCAGAGGGCACAGGATGGGTCAAGGTGCTGCAGCTCTGAAGAAGAATACATGGAGAGAAAGCTCATTGTGGTTTGAGCTGAGAGTGGATGAAGGGTAGAGTAGCCAAAGCTGGGGTGTGAGTGGCTGGGACCCACGGTAGCATGGTTAGGACTTCAAGCTCCAAACACAGCCTGTGTCAGAGCCCTGAGAAGTGCCTGACTCACATCTGTAATTAAAAGAATTCAGGCTAACCACACTCTGACATGGGACACTGGCCATAGTAACAATGTTACCTACCTCCTGCCTGGTCTAAAAGTGTAAAGAATGAATGTCAATCCCACAGCAGGTTTGGGTAGAGGAGTTGAAAAGCTAAATCAAAATTTATAATTAAAGACTCCTACATTGCTAAGACAGTCTTTAAAATAAAAGCAAAACCAAGGGAATGAGCAGCTTTAAAGTAAACTAGAAAACTCAAATCAGGAAGGGTATGGTACTAGTGGAGAAATGTAAACAGAGCCAGGGATACAGCAAGGAGTTCAGAACTGATTCATGAGCAGTAACGTGGGCCAATAAACTGAGTTGAAAGTCTCAAGGGCACAAATGGCCAATAAATAAGAGAAAAAAATTGTTCATTGCCCTCAGCCATCAGGACATGGAAATCTGAATACACTGAGAATCTGTCTCACCCCAGTCAGAACGGCCAACATCCAGAAAATTAACACGGGGAGGGGCGGATAGTATGAGAGGGTAGGATAGTACTCAGCACCCAGCACATACTTGTATAAAAACCTTAAAATAAATAAAGGAAGGGAAGAAAAGAAAACTAATAATAATAAGTACTAGAGAGGAAATGGGGTGGGGAGGAATTCTGGTACACTGCTGGAGGGACTGTAAATTAGTGTTACCATGATGGAAGGCCCTCAGAAAACTAAAAATAGAACTACCATGTGACCATATACCCAAAGGAATATAATTCACCTACCGCAGAGCTCTCTGCATCTGCGTTTATTGCTGCGCTATTCATAATAGTCACATTATGGAACCAACCTAGATGTCCATCAGGAACAATGTACAGAATCTAGATTTTTTTTTTTTCTTAAAAGACATGGAAGTAAAGGGTAAAGGGGTGTCTGGGAAGAAGAAGGGGAGCCAGGATGAGGGATAGGAGAGGGCAATGGAGCAAGGCGAAGAGGGTTAAAGTACATTACATACACGTATGAAAACGTAAAAACTAGGTTTGGCTGTCCGTGTCCGAAAAGCCCAAATCACAGAACTACGGTTGAGCCAAGGTTGGTTTCTCACTCCTCTGCAAGCCTGGAGGGCTCAGGGTCAGAAGCCCAGGCCCCCCTGCTCTCCTGTCCACACTGGCCTTTACTAAGGTCACTGTCCACTACCACTTCAGCTCCATCCTGCACACTGACTTTCCAGCCAGCAAGGGGAAGAAAAGGGGTGATGAGCAAGCCCCTCCTGTGGTAAGGATGCTGCCCAGCAGCTGCTCACTGCATTGATACTTAATGTCATTGGCCAGAACTCAGTCACCAAAGGGGCTGCCCAAGGGCTGGGGTCACAATTCGCGCCATGCAAACAGGTGCTTAACTAGATGTCAGGAGTACATGTATGTGTATGTGGCTACAGAAGGAGAAAAGGGTGGGTGGGCCATCACTGGATAATTGGAAGGGTCTGCCACATGCCATATATATATATA